CAGAGTAAGCGCCCATCGAGAGCGCTAGCTTCCAGAGGTTACAGGAGGGGATGCCTCTCTAATCCCAGTCTACGAGCCAATCCACTGTCCATCAGGTTGGCGTCCACCGGAATCCACCAACACGCTCTAGCTGAGAGAGGTGGTTAGAGAGGAGATGGAAACTCTGGGAAGGGCCCGAGGGGGGCCTACGAACAGTGTGGTACGGCTCACCAGTGACGTCCTCCTCACTGGTGAGCCTGATCTTTTAGTGGGCAGGAGGCGATGAGGTGGCCCCTTTGGCCACAGTAGATGGCCATGACGCTGCCGCTCCGCAGGGGTCAACCTGGTCCTCCCGAGATGCATGGGCTCCTTGGCTGAGTGATGGGGGTGGTGCGGTCCGGAGAAGTCTGGGGTCTAGCAGGTGGGTTGGTAGTGGGATTACCGTGGAATCGGTTCCAGTGGAGACCTGTGGCAGGTCTCCGGAGGGGCGGATGGGGGGGGGGGTGAGCGGGAGGTCGACGAGCTAAAAAGGCGGCTAGGTCTCTCTCTCCTAAACTCACCGAGACGACTCTCTAACCTCACCGCAAGGGTGGTTAGGGCCTCAAGGCTCTCAGAGTCATCCCTCAATGCTAGCTCCTCACTTACTGGGTTGTTAAGTCCTCTAAGAAACCCCCCCTGGAGTGACGCATCAGACCACCCTGAGCCCTTGCGCTATGGTTCTGAAGTCAATTGCAAACTCTGCTACACTGCGGGAATCCTGTCTTAGAGAAAGTAGGCGTGAAGCAACGTCTTTGCCTCTAACTGGGTGATCAAAAACGCATCTCATCTGAGAGGCACTGATACGAGGAGAGGACAGGAGACTGAATGGAGTCAAAAATGAAGGAGCATTGCATCAAAAAAGACTTGCATGTACCCAGGTCTCCATTGTAGCGCTCTGGCGCATTCGGCTCCTGGGAGCCAAAGGTGGGTTGGGAAGGTTGCAGAGGAGGGGTAGGCGCCTCTGGAGCTGGGGGGTGGCTGCGGGGCGACTTGACGGAGCTGCTGTCCAAGCTGGTTCACCCCCGTAGAAAGAGACTGGAGAGACTCCATCATGTCCCGGAGGAGTTGGTCGCGGTGCCCCATGAGAACACCCTCTGAGGCGACGGCATGACGAAGGGAATCGGAGTCCGCTGAGTCCATGTTGGCCAGTTTGTACTGTTACGCCGCTGGGGCCACAAGGGTTTAGACTCAAAAGCAGACTCAAAAGCAGACTCAAGGCGTAGTAGTCAGAGGCAAAAATAGTCTTTATTTCAGGCAGGTGTTCGGTACACGGGTAGTCAGACAGAGAAGGATCAATCCAAATCGGCAGGCAAAGGTTTCCTGTTGTTTCTCGTTTATTTCACAGAAGGCAACAAACACATAAAATACAACTTTGCTGCCTTTGCTATGTTGCTCTGGTTCGCTGGTAAAAAACTATTAGTCACGCAGGTGCAAGCTGGTCCTATACCTGGCTATGCCCTTAAGTAACCTCCAGGTGCCCACGGTATTACCCAATTAGTGGTCCAATACTCCCCATGGGCTCACCACCTGTGGGGGAAACCGATGGGGTTGGGTGCGCTGCTACAAGGGTGCCAGTGACAGTGGGGGGTCTAGACGGAACAGAACTGGGCGGCAGATGCTGGCTCTGGGGGGGAAGGAGCCGGAGCTTGTGCTGGAGGTGGAGCGTTATCAGTTGGATCTGGTGGAGCTTACCTCTACTCACAGCTTCGGCTCTGGAACCACACTCCTGGATAGGGGATGGACTCTATTCTACTCCGGCGTGGCCCATGGTGTGAGGCGCCAGGTGGGTGTGGGGATACTCATAAGTCCCCGGCTGAGTGCTGCTACATTGGAGTTTATCCCGGTGGACAAAAGGGTCGCCTCCCTACGCCTTCGGGTGGTGGGGGGAAAACTCTGTAGTCTGAGCTGCTGTGCACCAAACAGCAGCTCAGAGTATTCGGCCTTTTTGGAGACCCTGAATGGAGTCCTGCATGGGGCTCCAGTAGGGGACTCCATAGTCCTGGGAGACTTCAATGCGCACGTGGGCGACGATGGAGATAACTGGAGAGGCGTGATTGGGAGGAATGGCCTCCCTGATCTGAACCCGAGCGGGTGTTTGTTACTGGACCTCTGTGCCAGTCACGGATTGTCCATAACAAACACCATGTTCGAACATAAGGATGTACGCACACAAGTGTACGTGCTACCAGAGCACCCTTGGCCAAAGATCAATGATCAATTTTGGAATCGTATCGTCTGATCTGAGGCTGCATGTTCTAGACACTCGGGTAAAGAGAGGGGGCAGGGCTGTCAACTGATCACCATCTGGCTGTGAGCTGGTTTAGAGGATGGGGGAAGACTCGGCACAGACCCGGTAAACCCAAGCGTGTAGTGAGGGTGAACTGGGAACATCTGGAGGAGGCCCCGGTCCAGGGAATTTTCAACTCACACCTCCGGCGGAGCTTCTCTCGCATTCCTGTGGAGGTAGGGGACATTGAACCAGAGTGGTGTATGTTCTAAACCTCCATTGCAGAAGCCGCGGCAGTGACCTCAAGGTCTTAGGTGCATCAAGGGGCGGTAACCCTCGAACCCCGTGGTGGTCAGGGAAGCCGTCCGACTGAAGAAGGAGGCCTTCCGGGTTAGGATATCCGGTGGGACTCCGGAGGCAGTTGCAGTGTACCGACAGGCTCGAAGGGCAGCAGGGTGGTACCCCTCTACAAAAAGAGGGACCAGAGAGTGTGTGCCAATTACAGGGGTATCACACTACTCAGCCTCCCGGGTAAAGTCTACTCCAAGGTCCTGGAAAGAAGGGTTCGGCCGATAGTCGAACCAAGGATTGAAGAGGAACAATGCGGTTTTGTCCTGGAACAACGGACCAGCTTTTTACTCTTTACAGGATCATGGAGGGGGCTTGGGAGTATGTTCATCCACTCTACATGTGTTTTGTGGACTTTGAGAAGGCGTATGACGGGGTCCCCCGAGAGAAACTGTGGGAGGTGCTGCAGGAGTACGGGGTGAGGGGGTCCTTGCTTGGGGACATCCAATCCTTGTACGCCCAAAGCGAGAGCGGTGTTCGGGTGCTCGGCAGTAAGTCGAAGGCGTTTCCAGTGGGGATTGGCCAGCTTGTTTGTGGTTTTCATGGACAGGATATCGAGGCGTAGTCGGGGGGAGGAAGGTCTACAGTTCGGGGGGCTGCGGATCTCATCGCTGCTTTTTGCAAATGATGTGGTCCTGGTGGCATCTTCTGTCTGTGACCTCCAACTCTCACTGGAGCGTTTCGCAGTCGAGAAGCGGTCGGGATGAGGATTAGCACCTATAAATCGGAGGCCATGGTTCTCAGCAGGAAACCGATGGATTGCCTACTCCAGGTAGAGAATGGGTCCTTACCCCAAGTGAAGGAGTTCAAGTACCTCGGGGTCTTGTTCACGAGTGAGGGGAAGATGGAGTGTGAGTTTGGCCGGAGAATCGGAGCAGCAGGGGCGGAATTGCACTCGCTTTACCGCACCATTGTGATGAAAAGAGAGCTGAGCCGGAAGGCAAAGCTCTCGATCTACCGGTCAATCTTCGTTCCTACCCTCACCTATGGTCATGAAGGATGAGTCATGACCGAAAGAATTAGGTCACGGGTACAAGCGGCGGAAATGGGTTTCCTCAGGAGAGTGGCTGCCGTCTCCCTTAGAGATAGGGTGAGAAGCTCAGCCATTCGTGAGGAGCTCGGAGTAGAGCCGCTGCTCCTTTGCATCGCAAGGAGCCGGTTGAGGTGGTTTGGGCATCCGGTGAGGATGCCCCCTGGGCGCCTCCCTAGGGAGGTGTTCCAAGAACGGCCAGCTGGGAAGAGGCCCCGGGGAAGACCCAGGACTAGGTGGGGAGATTATATCTCTGCACTGGCCTGGGAACGCCTTGGGATCCCCCAGTCAGAGCTGGTAGATGTGGCCCGGGAAAGGGAAGTTTGGGGTCCCCTGCTGGAGCTGTTGCCCCCGCGAACCGACCCCGGATAAGCGGCTGAAGATGGATGGATGGATGGTCCAATCAACCCAACAATTAACCAAACTAGTTATTTATTCTTAAATATAAATAGTAGCTCCCAGTAATACATACATACTGATCCTCCCATATACAGATTGACATAATAAAACTCCTAGTTATGGTCATCTACTCATACATACATAAGCGGATACAGTACATGTATACTCATAACTATTAATTCGTATCAATTAGATACTCTTTAGGGTTGTTTTTATCTACTTTTGAAACAGTTGATAATTATTTTCTCCAGCAACATCTCATTGGATGATAATGCATTCCATGAAGCCTACTGCCAGCAAGCACATTTAAAGAAATATAATCTGATTCATTAGAGTGAAAAGACAATGAAAACTCACACATTTAACTCTGCGATACTTTGTCGGGCTTGTAGCCCTCGCAGATTTCGCCATTATTTGATTAAATTCATTTTCTATAGCACAAAATCGCAAATTTGCCTCAGAGGGCTTTACAGTCTGTACACATCTATCATCTGTCCCAAAAGCATTTGATAGGGAGAATAAAGGGAATAAACCTTTAGAGCAGGGGTCTTCCAACGTTTTTCAATCTTGGTTTCGGTGATCGACTCTTCCGCCATCTACCGTAGGATGCGCACGCGCAATTATTGTGATAACTTACATCTGGTTCCAATTAACGAGACGGTTTGAGTGCGGATCCGCCTTTGAGGAACCGAGATAGCCTAACGTCAATCATTATTAATTTGAGCTAATGGGACATTTGATCAACTTAGTTGAACCATGTACAAATTCTCTACACACCCATACTGGTGTGTACAGAATATTACAGAATCACAATCTTGTTCAAAAATCACAATCACATAACTTGCCCATATGATTTGTCTGAAGGTAAATTCTGACAAGAACTGTGTCAACCCATGAGCATGTTCCATAGTACTGAGCAGTATGCTGAAAAAGAAAAGACTGAGTGATATATTACTAATGCTATGACACACCGCTTACCTCACACTTATCCACCATTGGCTGCTGCACACAGTCTGAGCGGTTTCCCACAACTGCAGCAGACTTCTGGCCCTCATTGTCACCAGTGCCTTCCTCTGAATGATTTCGGGTTTGGTTTCCGTGGTGATCACTATTTGGATGGCGTGCAGGCGAACTCCTCGGTGTTCGGCTCAAATCCCGGCGCAGCGCGTGGTTCTCCTCCTCGACTGCACGGACCCGCAGCTCTAAGGACTTCTGCTCGCCACGTCGGCCCACTGCCATTGATGATTGGGCTTCCAATGGAGACAAGGGGAGAGGCTTCACTGTGGGTCACAGACAGGGAAGAACGGATTAAACACATGGGACTTTAACAATGTTATCTTACCTACCAACGATTTATTTTTCATATATATATATATATATATATCATATATATTAAAATTATTTGATATTATATGATGGGCGGCACGGTGGTGTGGTGGTTAGCACTGTCGCCTCACAGCAAGAAGGTCCTGGGATTGACTCCGCTGTGTGGAGTCTTAGATTGGCTGGCGACCAATCCAGGGTGTACCCTGTCTATAGCTCGAAGTTGGCTGGGATAGACTCCAGCCCATCCGCGACCCTGTGTGCAGGATAAGCGGTTTGCAGATGGATAATATTATATGATAAATGAATATTATGCATCATGCACCAATACTACACTGCTCAAAAAATTAAAGGAATGATCATTTATCAGGCATGATCTAAGTTACACTTCTGACAATGATCAGGCCCCGTTCCTCATCCGCGGTTCAACAAAGTCCATCTAATATCCTATTAGACGGTTTAGATTAATCCGATGATTGATCAGGCCATCTTGGTTTCTCAAAGGCTGATGCACGCTCAAAAAATCTTGTTAAATCGAACCAGACTTGAGTAATCAGGATAATTGTGCTTGCCTGTCCTACTTCAAAAGGGGGGGGTGTTGATCATTACAATGACAGTACAATGGCAAAAAAACTCAGCCTCTTTTATTTCAGCTGACTTCCGCTGACTAGCAGCAGATGATCATGAGGAATTCAAAACCATAATCATGGCAAAATCGAACACTGATCATCCAATCAATCATTTGCAGTAGTGAAAAGGAATTGTGCGTTTTCTGCTGAGGAGTCCACCTTAATCTTTTTTGGTCGGGCCAGCCAATCAGTTTCAGCAAACATCCCAGTATGATTCAATAAAAAAGAAAAAGGTATCAAACATGCATTATTACTTTGCAGTTAAATATTTAACATTTATTCCAACAGTTTAATATTATAACGAAATCTTATTCAGACAATTTAGTAGGTTAATAAATATATATATTTATTTATTTTGTCACACATTCATACAGGTGAAGCGAGTAGATGGTTGGTTCCCAGGTGAGTGTGTATCTGTGACGTGGCAGGGGTGTGTGTAGTGCATTAACTTAATCACCTTCTTTGGTAGAGATAGCAGATCGCTATAACGGCACATGACCACTTTGAGACTTTAGACACTCAAACTTACAAGAGTAGAAAACCTCTAGAGAGTGAATCAAATAACAAGGACCACAAATAAATGATAGTTTCTAAAAAATAAACCAAAATAATGGATATTTTCTAAAAAAACACTTAAAGCGAGAATCACTCAACAACAACACAAAACAGATCTCTCTGAACATCACTAAAGAGTGAATCACTAAATAAAACACAAAATAATTAATATGCAAACTTTGTTTCGCCAACTGTGGCACATAACCCACCAGTGGATTGCAGTGCAATTACAGGTTGGGGAAATTCAGAATGAAGTTATTCAGAACTTCCCATCTTACAAAAGTACAAAGTAGACATAGTAGTGCTGTGGGCTCTCTCACAAAATACAGATCCCAGCTCAACATTGAGAATGATATAGTTTTAGGGCCGCCGTATCAAGTCTGCAACTATGGTGGCAAATCACTGTCAAAATTCGAGAGCGCAAATGAGGTTGATGCGCGCGCGTAAATCAAACATCCGCGAGCAAAAATTAGTCTCGCGCGAGCAAATGTCCGTCTCGCTTGCAGAACGTGAACTTCTTCGCTCGCTCGGCTAATCTCTGCTCACGCTCGAAGGTGTTTTCTGCGCGCTCGCTGTTCTTTTTGACAGTAAGGGGGCAGAGCCAGTAATCATGGTATTTCTACATCTAATTGGTTACAAACCCCTTCTTTGGATTGGCTGGAGATATGCATTCACAGAACTATAGAAGATTTCCGCACTAAAGAAAGGGGATAGAAAGCCGAATGAGATAAAACGTTGTCAAAACACAAACGATAATCGTAGTGGACCGTAGATGACAACCAGCTACAACCCTAATTTATCATCATTACCGGCACTCCTCCGGCCGCACATTAAGACCAATGCGTCCAGCTCGCATACCGGTCGGTATTGGTAAAATGAAGTCTGAATCTGTGAATATCTTTAGATCTCATAATTTTGATTTTCCAAAAATCAATCCAAATTGAAAGTTGGCAAGGTATTCACAGATTCAGACTTCATTTTACCAATACGGACTGGTTGGGGAGCTGGACGGGAGGGGGGGTGTGGGGGAGTTGGCTCATTAGCATTTAAAGGAACAGGCAGTCAAAACAGCTGTTTTAGACAGGGTAAAAGGGTGCTGTTTTAAATGATCCTTGTGGTATTTTGACCAAAGTATGTTACAGATATTTCATTAAGACCCCAAGGAACCATATCAACTTGTGGTGAAATTGGCATAAAATAGGTCATTTAAGTGACTAAACCTGGAGGTTATTGGGGAGTGGAAGGAACACTCCTGAATCTAACTACTATGCCCTCCGTGGTAGATGCGGAGGTGGAGGCTGAAGAGTCATTGTTGATTTGCCTGGTAGAAGTCACTGAGGCAGTCAAACAACGCTGCAGTATCCAAGGCCTAGGGATTGATGACGTCAACCTGGAAATGCTGAAGGAAATTGGTGTTAGGGGGCTGTCTAGTATGTAGTACACCTCTTCATTGTATGGATGTCTGGAACAATGCCTAAGGAGTGGCAGATCGGGGTGGTGGTTTCTCTCTTCAAAAAGGAGCCAATTATAGGTGTATCACACTACATAGCCTCCCTGGTAAGATCTTCAAGGTGCTGGAAAAATATTTTATCATGGTTGTGGAATAATGGACCAGCTCTTTACTGTTGCAATGATCCTGGAGGTGGCCTGGGAGTACGCTCATCCGGTCGACATGTGTTTTCAGGCATGTGCACAGATAGACCCCTAGTGGTACTCAAACAGCTGCACCATCGGACAAACAGATGATGACGGGTTTGTGCAAACCCCCAACGTTGTTTAGGGATAAATGAACCACTTAGCGCCGCTGAAAATCTGTCATCAAAGCCTTATCCAGCTGTTTACTGACATTTGTCATGTTTAATGAAGAGACAGACAGAGAATTTAAAGGCAGTTTTACTGCTCTACAAATTAGACAAGTTCACTAGTTTTGTTTAATTTAATTGAATTATTGAAATGAAAGGTAGGTCTTAAGTTGAGCTACATGACAGACTAGTGAGGTATATTGTGGAATATTATTAGCGCAATGCTGCTTATGCTTCAACTCTGTCGGAAAACCGTAAAAAAAAATGTGTGTGTGTTGTCGGCTTTATAGAGATTATGTAAGTCACTCTTAATTATTATGCACAACATTGTTTATCTCATTTACAAAATTTGCAGCATAATGCCAAGAAAATAGACTCAAAAAGCAGAAGGACAGGGAAAATATCCTACTGTGTTTATTTATTTTATTATTATTATTTTTAATTTCCAGAATAATTTAGCCATCCAAGGACCCAGTATAAGCAATTGAAGATGAAAGAATAATCCTTGTGGTAAGCAAAAATAAATACCACTAGGTATTGGTATCCACTAGGAGGATTGTTAGTTTCAAATGCACCATATAATTAATACTCATTCCTTCACAAACTGACTTGGTTACTTTGCTTTTACATAGCGTCCAAACTTGTTCAAGCACTTTCTGATAGACACAGAAATACATAGAAACATCCAGACTGGCATGTATCCTCGACATGCGTGTAACTAGAGACCGAAATGCTGCTTACAGCTTAATTCATAAATGCAGTTAACACAATAACAACATGATAACTTTCCCCATCCCTACTTAAAACAAAGCAAACAAGGTTACTGTAGTGGCTATTTGTCCATAAACTTAAACAAAAACAAATAATAACAAACTTCTCAAATGGCCACTCGAGGCTACGTCATGGTTAGGCTTTACGCAGGTTCAGAGGTACCAAAGCAAAGTAATGTCCATAACAAGATTGAGTTTGAGGCGGTTTATTCACACACATAAGCAAGCTCACCGACATTTCTGCTGCCTCTCTCACGCTGGTAAAAAACCATATGCCCTCGTGCCTGAAGTACCTCCCACCTTGACCTACTTATGCAAATGAACATAACACCATGTGACCAATAAACGACAATACGAGTAAAGCATAAATACAAAATACACCAAATTAACTTTAACAGGAAAAGAAAAAGAAATAAGTAAGGCTATAAATTAACTTAAACCCAAAATAAACAAAAATAAAAATATAGCTCCAACAACCCAGCCCCTAATTGTAACGGTACTTTACCCACAATTAACCTTAGCTTTAACACAAAGGAGCTATTTTCTAATTGTAGCTTAAGCATTAAACTGGAATCTTCACATCTTCGGATTCTCCATATCTGAAAGAAACAAACAGATGGAAGACAGAGATAGGAGAAAGAATGAGTTGTATAGTCAATTATTAGCCTCCAAGAGAAGACAGAGCTTGGTTATTGGTCTGTCCAGGACGCTGATCTTCGTTTGGACCTTCACAGAGCGAACCAGTCCTCGGGAGTCAGCTATGGCGCTTAGCACTCTGCCCATCATCCATGAGCCTCTTGGAGCTGTGGCATCAGCGATTACGACAATATCTCCTGGAATAAAGTTTCTCTTTTGCTTCGTCCATTTTTGCCTTTCTTGCATTACAAGCAAATACTCCGCTGTCCATCTTTTCCAGAAAAGCTCCGCAACGTACTGCACTTGCCTCCATCTCCTCTTAATGTACAGATCAGATTTCTCAAACAGACCTAATGGCAGAATGGGCTTGCCTTTTAACAGGAGAATGTGATTTGGAGTAAGCGCTTCTAAATCATTGGGATCTTCTGAAGCCTTAGTTATTGGCCGGTCATTGAGTATCGCCTCCACCTCGCAAAACAGCGTTTGCAGGCCTTCCTCGTCCAGCAGTTGATGTCCAATAACAGAGGTAAGTACACTGCGCACAGAGCGAATCAGACGCTCCCAAACGCCACCTTGGTGAGATGCAGCTGGGGTGTTAAAACTCCACGTCATTCCTTCCTGCACAAAAGTCCTTTCAATTTTAGAGTGATTTAAAGCGGCCAATGCCTGCCTCAGTTCCTTCTTCGCACCAACAAAATTTGTGCCATTATCTGACCTTATACTTGTCACAGGTCCCCTTCTGCAGATAAATCTTCGCACAGCATTAATGCAGGAGTCTGTGTCGAGGGAGTGTGCCACCTCCAGGTGTACTGCGCGGCTACTCATACAGGTAAATATCACTCCATATCGCTTCAGCACAGTTCTCCCTCTCCTCACCTCCAATGGTCCAAAATAGTCCACTCCCGCATTTGTAAAGGGTGCGTTATCAGGCACAACTCGTTCCTCCGGTAAGTCGGACATCTTCTGTTCTCCAAGCTTTCCTCTGTACCTTCTGCACACTGTACATTGTGAGAGAATCTTCCTGGCCGCAGAGTTGGCATTTATGATCCAATACTTCTGTCTCAATCTGTGCAGCATGTAATTGCGTCCAGCATGTCCAAGTTGGCAATGGATGTAACGCAATATGAGCTGGGAAACATGCAAATCCTTTGACAGAATCACAGGATGCTTTACCTCCCACGGCAGAACAGACTTAAACAGACGTCCACCAACTCTGAGGATGCCATCTTCGATGAAGGGGTCGAGGCGATACAGAGGACTGTCTTTAAAAACAGTCTTTGGGTCATGTTTTAGTGAGGAAATTTCAGTACTGAATCTTTGGTTTTGCGCAAACTGAATTATTGCCTTTTCGGCTTCCTCCAACCGCTCTGGTGTCAAGTTGGATTTTCCAAGTGCGGCTTTGAATTTTTTAATCTCCTTTTCCACATTCTCATTCTGGTTGACCACATATTCTTTTCTCTTTCGGCTCAAAAGTAAAAGTCTTTCTTTAAGCTCCAACAGCCAGGCCACTGATGTTTTAAGCTTTCTCCAGGATGAAAAATAGTGAATGAGCTGACTGAGGGGATTGTCACTGTGTATTGTAACAGCATTCACCTTAAGTTCCCTTTTCACCTCTGCATCATCCGATGGAATGGAAGAGGCGTCCAAGTCGAGTTTCGGCCATCTGGTGGGGGGCAAGTGCAAAAAGTCCGGTCCTTTTAGCCATTTTCCTTTTCCAAACTCCTGAGCTCTTAGTCCTCGAGAAGCTTCATCTGCAGGATTGTCTTTGGTGTTTACATACCTCCACTGATCTTTGTCTGTGGATTCTCTTATGGTGCTGACACGATTGGCAACATATGTGTGAAAGCGCTTTGTTTCATTAAAGATGTACTTGAGAACAGTAGTGCTATCGGTCCAAAAGAATGACCTTTGCAATGGCAACTGTAGCTCTTTCAACAGCATTGTGTTCACTCGAACAGCAAGCACAGCTGCAGCAAGCTCAAGGCGTGGAATGGTTAGTTGCTTTAGAGGAGCGACACGAGCTTTGCCTGTGATAAATGAAACATGCACATTGTCAGTGCTCTCCAATCTCAAGTATGAAACAGTGCCATATCCTATTTGACTAGCATCTGAAAAATGATGCAGTTCTGCTTTCAATTGTGTTCCAAAGTTTTTGGGTTTAATGCACCGTTCCACTTTAAATCCACTCATATGTTGAAGTTCAGAGAGCCACTCAGACCAATGTTCAGAGACATCACAGGGAACTGGCTCATCCCATTTGAAGTTCATTCTGCACAGCTCCTGTAACAGTAACTTGGCAGGGATTATGAAAGGAGACAAAAAACCCTGAACGTATCTCCTTGAACACACCATTGCATCCCCAGAGCTCTTTCCACAGGGAGTTGGTCCCTGTCCAAATCCATGTTCTCCAAACCCACTGCTCTGATGTTGCTAGGAATAAGTGCAAACACATTTGAGTTATTTGTGACCCACTTTTGGAGATGGAAGCCACCTTTTTTACAGAGAGATGTTAATCCATGTATGAGCTTCACTGCATCTTCCTCTGTCACAGTGGACTTAAGACAGTCGTCCACGTAGAAATTTGTCTTGACTGTACGAAGGACATCGGGTGAATATTGCAGTGCATTATCCTCAGCAGTTCTCCTCAGTGCATAGTTTGAGCAGCTTGGAGAGGATACAGCTCCAAACAAATGCACGCACATCCTGTATTCCTCTGGCTCCGCTGTAGTGTCTCCATTGGGCCACCATAGAAAGCGCAAGAAGTTAACGTGCTTATATGGCACCCGGACCTGATGGAACATGGCGTTGATATCAGCCATAACAGCGATGGGCTCTTCTCTAAACCGAAGAAGGACACCAATTAGCGTGTTAGTGAAGTCTGGGCCCTGCAAGAGCTGACTGTTCAATGATGTACCTTTGTAGGTACAGCCGCAATCAAACACAACACGCAACTTTCCTTTGGTTGGATGATGTACACCATGGTGGGGAATGTACCACACCTTTCCTTGTTCCAGAGTGGGCTCATTTGTGGGAACCTTTTCTGCATATCCTTGCTCTAACATGTTGTTAAGGAAATCAACGTATTGAGCCTTGAATGAACTATTTCTATTAAATCTCCTCTTCAGGCTTTGGAGTCTTTGTAGTGCAATGCAGCGATTATTTGGCAAAACAGGATCGTCAATTCTGAAAGGTAAGTCAATGTAATAATGTTCATTGTTAAGCACTGTCGTACTCTCCACAATTTTCATGAATCTAATGTCTTCTCTTGACATCTCAAGTTGTTCATCACCTGTTCTTTCAGTAAAGTCATGATTATACTGTTGCATCAACATACTTTCCAAGTGTTCCACAGATATGTGATTAGCAGTTACAACAATGCATCCTGATTTGACACCAGTACCTTCAGAGTTTCCAGCACGAAGAGGCCCGTTTATGACCCAGCCAACTCTGGTCCTCACTGCATACGGTCCACCACATTGACTATTTATCAGTTCCCATGGCTCCAAAACTTTAGGCGAGTCGGTTCCAATGAGCAAGTCTACATCTGCATCTACTTCATGTAGCCTAATGCTGCTCAAATACGCCCATTTGGCAACATCATCCTGACATGGCACATTGATTTTAGATACAGGCATTTTTGTTTGTGTCAGAACAGATGGTAGCTCAATAAAGTCATCGGTGTCAAATCCAGACACCTCCAGACCAGTTACTATAGTAGTGCTAATGGTTTTAGTCTGCCCCATTGTCCTCAACACTACATTACAGTTTTTTCCTGATACTCCCAGCCTTTCAGCCATACTTGTAGTACAGAAAGTCCCAGAGCTCCCAGGATCCAGGAAAGCATAAGTATGCACAACTTTATTACTTTTCCGACTTTTCACCTGCACAGCCACAATGGAAAAAACTGCAATATCCTCTTCACCAGCCCCAATATGACCACACGTCTGCTGCTTCCCGGATACAGTGCTCAGTTTCTTTGGAGGTTATCCTTGTAGTATCCTCCTTCTCCACATGCAGGACAGATGGATGTTTCCTGTGACACACTTCACAATCCAACCGACCCCTACAGTCTTTGCTCGTGTGTCCATGTTTCAAGCACCCAAAACAAACGCCCTTCTCCTTTAGAAACTGAATCTTGTCCTGTTGTGTCTTTCTTCTAAACTGAAAGCATTTTTCCAGTGTGATTGGTAAGATAGCAGAACATACATTTGAGCTGGTTACTGTGAGCTGTCAAGTTTTCCATTTCTTTATGTCCATCCTTTGGTGCATTAATGCTGGTGGCAAATGTACCACTTTTCTTTTTCTGCTTAACTTGCATGGATAGCTTTGTATAGCTGGCTGGAGAAACATCATTAATATTTCCAAACAGAGGATCTGAAACAATTTTGACTTGTTTTTCAATGAAATTCACAAAATCAACATACACTGCTCTGCTTCCAGTTTGCTCCAGTATGTCACATGCCATATTTCTCCACTTTTCCCTCAGCTTGTATGGGAGTTTCATTAGGATTGTCCTGAGGTTAGCTGGCATGTCCAACTCCTTCATGTACTTTATATGATGTACTATGTTGGAGCAACCTCGAAGGAACAAAGCGAATGACTGCAGAGCGTTAACATCCTCAGGTTTTATTGAGGGCCAGTTGTTGATTTTGTCCATGTAAGCAGAAGAGATTTTATGTTCACTGCCAAAATGTTCAATCAAAAGCGCTTTTGCTCTTTGATAACCTGGTTCAGAGGGCATATGCTGACAACTTCTTACAATGTCTCTTGGTTGCCCCCTAGTGTACTGTTCTAGGAAGTACAGACAATCACTGAAATTTTGAGTTTTATCCTCAATGCAATTTTCAAAGGCTCTGAGAAAAGATTTGAAATACAGGGGATCACCATCAAATACAGGTATATTTCTCATAGGCAGAGCAGAGGCTGTGTTTTGTTGGACCAACAGCGCAGTGATTTCATTTTGACGCTGCATGATATTCAAAATGTCCGGAGAATTGGTGGGTTGATTATCGTCACAAACATCTTGCGAACCAAGTGATTGTGTACCTTGCCTTTGAAACACAGAAATGACATTAGGTATGGGTATTTGTTTTACAACATGTTTGGGTTGAACACCAACAGGGACAGAATTTAACAAGCGACTGGAGGTAGGTTCAGAGCTTTTATTGGTGGGCACATAGCGTTCAGCATTCGGATTTAGTTCATATGTCCCTTGAATTTCTGACCTTTTCAAGTAAGAATTCATGCCATCTGATGTTTGAGATGCACATCTTGACACTTTAGAGCCACACTTTGAGCTTACTTGCAGAACCTCCAATTTTGCATTTGTCACCTTTAATTCTGCCTCCAGAGCAAGTTGTTCCTTTTCTCTCCTTAAATGTTCCCGTTTCTTCCGTAATTCCTCTTGTTCAAGTCTTATTTGTTCCTCCTGCGCCTCCAAAGTGTGCTTTTGTTTTAGAGCAGCCATACGCTCCTGTAATGCTGCTCTCTCTGCTTGCGCTAATATTTTTGCAGATGCACTGGATGAAATCCTTGAAAATTTAGAGCCAGCCTTTGAACGCGCTGCAGAACCTTTATTGGATACACTGTCCTCAGGCCCAATATCAGTTTGATTATCAGGTGGTTTAATTGGAAGTTCATATGAATGGCCTGCATTTGATAACCAGCCTTTGACGTCATCAATAAAGCTTGAAAAACACTTCTCCTTTCGTTCAAAATATTTATCTTGTTTCTCCTTCTCATCCTGAGGTATGTCCAGTGACACAAATGATAAATGATGTTGTTTTGCCTCATCAACACATATTATTATTTGATCCAAAAGAGACTTGACTGCATCAATATTGTCTGCAGAATGCATCAACTTATCCATCTGATTCATGTACGATTTGGCTCGTTTGTATTGCATCGATCTCTTTTCCTGACACGTTTGCATAAAAAACATCATTCCTTTAGCAGTAAAACTTGTGCGTCTTCTTGTAGGAAGCGCCGTGTCGCTTTTGGCTTTAGATGCAACGTCAGACATTTTACCCTTTGTTGATGCCGGTCATGTACACACACAGTTGTTTGCAAAGATTGAATACAGCACATACCTTGTGGAACTTTGTTTGTTGCGGTGGTTGCCTTTGTACACGGAGTTGAATGCACGCAGTAGCTGTTGTTGCGCGCGGCCGTGCGCGTTACCTGTGAAGGCTTTGGGCCTTTGCGAACTCAAATTGCAGCAAATAATATCCCCCACTCCGTAGTGCAGCTCCAGCGCTCCAGTAGCTTCACCGTTATCCAGTACGGTGTCCAGGGAAACTTTACACTGTCGGATGGGTCGTATTATTCGATGTTTGCACCGTATCCAGCCCACACCTCCGTCACTCCTAGGCCCTTTCCTTTGTTTGTCTCCCGCATCCAGGTGAGTAATCCACTTTCGAAACGGTAATCCAGCAAACGACAAGTCCAGTATCCACGTAAACCAACGATATATCCAGGGCGGGTTTTTTACTTATTGTAGTGGCTATTTGTCCATAAACTTAAACAAAAACAAATAATAACAAACTTCTCAAATGGCCACTCGAGGCTACGTCATGGTTAGGCTTTACGCAGGTTCAGAGGTACCAAAGCAAAGTAATGTCCATAACAAGATTGAGTTTGAGGCGGTTTATTCACACACATAAGCAAGCTCACCGACATTTCTGCTGCCTCTCTCACGCTGGTAAAAAACCATATGCCCTCGTGCCTGAAGTACCTCCCACCTTGACCTACTTATGCAAATGAACATAACACCATGTGACCAATAAACGACAATACGAGTAAAGCATAAATACAAAATACACCAAATTAACTTTAACAGGAAAAGAAAAAGAAATAAGTAAGGCTATAAATTAACTTAAACCCAAAATAAACAAAAATAAAAATATAGCTCCAACAGTTACAAACACACACATACTGTAGGATGATTGCAGTGGTCAATGTGTTTTTTTGAGTTTCTCTGTAATTCTATACAGAGCACCATGGGCAGCAGTAATCCCAGTTGACCCGGTGTACCGCACATTCCTTCTTCGTGGTTAGATTAGATTAGATTACATGTACTGAGACAACACAATGCAGTACAAAACGCTGAGCCATGCGTTGTGCACGTGCCGCCATCTTGGTCTTGGTTATATGGCTAGGGTCCTCATCCAATTAAACCTATATTGTTGAGTTTTACCCAAAAGTAACACATAGTTGTTAAGTAAAGTCTTGTTGAAATTTGCTGTGATATCCACCAAAATCAGGCTGCGAGAACAAGTAGGCCCAACTCCATTTGTACCAACCACATGGTGATGGTCCCAACATTAGCAACTACCATTTGTGCTAGCTGTTTTTATCTCAGTTACCAAAGCTACTTCCATTCAAGTCACCTAGCTCCAGAGACGCCAATCACAAAATTCAGTTAAAACTAGCTTTCAGTAGTGTAGTAAATATGCATATTAAATATATATCCATCAACAACACTCGTCAAAAAACTAACCCTAACCCTATTATACTTATGAAAAAGTGTTTTGGGATTTAGTAGTGACCAGTTTAAAAAGAGCATTTTAAAAATGATGAAATTAATTTAAAGGCAAACATTTTGTAAATGCCCACAAACCGTCACCAGTATGTTAAAGATCTTACCCTGAAAGCTCCCGACTGACAGGTAAAGCCAGGTGAGTGCCGGGATGAAGAGCAGTGCGAGAGAGGCCACCAGTAACTTCCTTCGCCCACGCCACATTCCCAGCATCCTCTGTTCGAAGCAAACGGAAAGGGAGGTAAAGTGACCTATGTGGTTGGCATCTGTTGTTCAGGCTTATTCATGGCACTAGAGGGGAGAAAAAGAAAAACTGTTAGAGACAATGTTGTCATTTAATATCCTGTATATACAGCTGAGCACATACCTTCTGCTGTTGTAAAGGTAAAATAAATCTCAACCACCTAAACAATATACTCAAGATCCTGTAGTACCATTAATAATTCAACAAAAGTAAAACCATCAAAATTAGAAGTGGCTATACTGGAGTCCAAGCACTAGCCTGTTCACTGAAAGGGCACTTGCAGGATAGAGGTGTATCAATATGAAACAGCAAATCATTTGATTATCTAGTATAAGAATTACACACATCTTATCTGTATAGCAGAGAGATAGGGCAAGAGTTCACCGTATTGATATTAAGCCAAACCAGTTAATTGAATGTGACCACAAGGTACATGACTTGACTTAACAGCCCCAATGAACACTCAATTAGAATAAAAGCAGAGGATGAAGCAGCAGCTAATCAGCAGGACAGCAACCACTAAAATGTTCATTTTTTTCCGGAATGTTGTTGTTATTACAATGTTGTTGTTAATAAATGTTTGTTTTTTTTGGGGGGGGGGGCAGCTCCCGCAAACTTGTTGCAAAGTCGCCACATCACCTCAGCTTGCAACAGGAAGTGCCTCAGCAAGCTGTAAAGTAAAAGCAACCGGCTTTCAAATGAGCTGCAACAATTTGGGCTTGCTCCTTGTCTTTTTTCAGCTGCATTATTGTACTCAGAGAAACAGTCAAGACGCTTTTACAAGCCAATCTTGCGCCCTGATTCCAAAGTAACTACCAAGGCCGATTGAAGGGCAAAGATTTTAGCTCAGTGTTCTCAGGGCTGTCAACACCTGCATCAGTGATGCATTTATAAAAATAAATAAAAACGTTTGACTGATTTGAGCACAACAAAGAGCCTGACCGACTTTGTGCGATTTGTTTATGATACAACCGTGGACCTAAATGTTTGTCGCAATTTGGATCGCTTGAAAAAAGTAAAATAACACTATTGTATGCCAGTAGCTAAATCTCGGTAAACAATATATTAACTGGAGTTGGATTATGCTTTATAAATTTATAATTCACCCATTCACAGCCATTCATATAAGGGCATTTATTCCCCTACACCAGAAGGATAACGGGAAAGGATTCCATAATCAATTAAAAAGTAGTGTATTTGCACTTTAATTAAAGCAAACACTGAAGATGCTTTTAAGCAGTATTCCCTTTACACCGTAGCAGTTAAAGTATTTACTGTTAATATCAACTTAAATAAAAAATTGAAATGAATTTCAAATATATAAAAATATAAAACCGAAGCTGTTTGCCACTGCATTAACGTTTTATATTGTTGGTATAGCTAGTTACTCTTCACAATCATAACAAGTTAACATTTATAAATAAATAATAATTTATCAAATCTGAACAGGTAGCAGCATATTCTTTTATCAAACAGCGGCATTAAAGAGTCTTAAAAGAAATCATTACTTAAAAGTTACATTATTGACAGTAATATTATATAGTTTCACATTGATGCGGTTTTATATAGCTTACTCCTTTTACTCGTTAACGTTACTTTGCGCAGCTGCTGCATTCGGCTCGCTCCAGTGTCGCGTGTAATGGGCCCGCTAGCTTAGAAACAGCAAACCCAACAAACAGGCGGGGACACAAATTAACATATTCACGAAAGACAAAAGGAACATTTTAGCGCAGTCTTTGGAGATTAGAGAGGTTATAATATTAAGTGCAAATCAGACACATTTCGTGCCAACAATATCGCCATAGCAAGCGTTGTCCAGCTGCTAGGGTCTGCTAGTCAGACGTGAATAACTCCAGATTTCACTCACCTGATGCAGAGGCTTTAAACTGCTGCTTTTAGTATGCCTTAATAATTAAATATAGTCCTGGTAATAAAGCATACGGTGCTGCTTCACAGAGAGACGTGCGTTAGTCCTATCCGTTCTCACACAAAATGAGAAGGTCGTCCACCGCTGACTATGTAACAGATAGTTGGAGATGTATCGGAATGGCAGTCTCAGCCGTTAGCCTCGGGTAACAGCAGCAACAGTAGAACCGTTATCTACCGGCTGGATAAATACTTAAACGTGTCAGACAGATTTGTGGTGTCTGGTTTGCCACACCGAAGCTTTGGTCTCGTTGCAATCCCATTAATAGAAGCGGATCTGGATTACCTTCAACCTGCGGCATGCAGCACCACACTGTCGGGGAGGAGAAACGAAACGCGGCGGCACAGAGATCCGTATTCCGCTGAAGTTTCAGTTCGTTCATAGGGCTACTTAATGTCTGTTAAAATAGATATCCCTTCGCAGGAGGTAGAAGTGTTGTCCTGCTTGAGTCTCAGTTGTCGGCCTCAACACTGCAACTCTCTTCCTGACAAGCATCCATCGTCCAATCACAGCGCCGCATTCAGATAGGGGACGGAGAATAACAAGGGCTGGATCATATTGGACTGGAGTCTGGTCTTGATCACAGGACGGCTGGATTGAGACTTAGCTAGGTAAAAAAATGATTATGAGTTGGGTACTTATGAGTTGGGTACAAATCAACCCTTAATGATGATAGGTATTATGTAGGAGCCCCATTCTATTTGCAGTATTATATTTGTTACCATTACAACTTTAATCAGATTTGTGTGTGTCTGTTGCGAGATTGTCTTTTGTCCATGTAAAGCTACCGTAGTGTGGAGTATGCTAACCACGAGTGTAATGGCATCGTGGTTGTTGTTGTTCGAGTCAAACGCATAGCTTAGGTTTGCTCTGGGCTGTGCAAAATAAAACCCTCTTTAATGTGGAATACGACTCGTGTCTTGCCTTCATATCATGACATGGTGTCAGAATTAAAGACTTCACGTCAACATTAAGGGCGAGATGGCAAAGTTTGGACCTCCGGAGCCGTTCGACTTCTCGCAGCCGGCGGAGTGGCTTACATGGCGGCAGAGATTCTCCCGTTTCAGAGTCACATCGAAACCGGACAAAGAGAGCGGCGAAGTGCAGGGGGACTCATTCTTGTACTCAATGGGGAGGGATACCGAACCTATTTACGGCTCGTTTGTGTTTCCTGCGGCAACCGAGGCCATGCCGTATTCAGAGTATGAGTTAAATCTAGTGATGCAGAAATTTGACGAACACTTTCCCGAACACTTCCCGAAAAGGAACGTCATCCACGATCGCGCCTGTTTTCACAAGCGGAGCCAAAGGGCCGGTGAGACAGTGGAAGCTTTCGTGCGGAGCCTGTACGAGCTCGCGCAGCACTGCGAGTTCGGTGCGGGGAAGGACGAGCAGATCCGGGACCGGATCGTCATCGGAATAATAGACAAAGAGGTTTCTCAAAAACTACAGCTGGAGGCGGACGTGACTTTGGAGAGAGCCATCCAGCTTGCACGGCAAAGTGAACAAGTTAAACAACAAAGTGCAGAGCATCTGGAAACTACAGTGAATGAGGTGAGACAGAAACAGTACAATAGCATAAGGAGGAGCTACAATAAACAACGGCAGGGACAAGGACAGAAATACAGTGAGAACAAACTGAACTGTCAGAGATGCAACAGGATGCATGATAGAAAGGAAAGCTGTCCAGCTCGTAACAAAAGGTGCAGAAAGTGTAATAAAATTGGACATTTTGAGGCCGCGTGTAAATCCAAAATGCTGAAAGAAGTCAGAGCAGGGGCTGTTATGGATTCAGGTGAGGATTCGTTTTTTATTGGAGAATTATTCCTGAGAGCGACCACAAAGTCAAAACCAAACATAATTGAGGAGTCAAACCCGGATACTGACTGGGATGTAGAGCTACTAGTGAATGGCAGTCCGGTGGATTTTAAAATTGACACAGGTGTCGATACCACCGTCATGACTGAAGAGACTTTCAGCAAGCTACGTCAAAAACCTAAACTGAACAAGTCCAGGCCAACAGTGTATAGCCCAGGCGGGAAAGTCCAATGCGTGGGTAAATTCCTTGCCACTACTATATACAAAAGTCAGAAATACCAATACTGGATTACAGTCAGAAAAGGACAGTATGTTAGTAACTTGTTGGGCAAGGCAGGTGCTCGGACTGGTTAACTATGTTGGAAAATTCCTGCCAGGTCTGTCTACAGTGTTGCATCCACTCACTAACCTACTCAAGAAAGAGACCGCGTGGGTTTGGGGTGAGCCTCAGGAGCAAGCATTTAACAAAGCAAAAGCAATGCTCATGGCTGCACCAGCCCTTTGTTATCACAAAGCCAACAGACCAACAGTGGTCAGTGCCGACGCCAGCAGTTATGGCCTTTGTGATGCCCTGTTGCAAGACCACAATGGAGAGTTGCGGCCTGTTGCCTTTTGCTCGCGCACACTCACCGATGCGGAGAGGAGGTACTCTCAGATCGAAAAGGAGTGTCTGGCATCTGTCTGGGCTTGTGAACGTTTCGCCCGCTACATTCAAGGTATAGGCCGGGTCCGTTTACAGACTGACCACAAGCCACTGGTGCCATTGATTAACTCATACAACCTGGACAAAACGCCACTACGATGTCAGAGACTGCTCATGCGTCTCATGCGATTCAATGTCACTGCCGAACATGTTCCCGGTAAGCAGCTACTACCGGTAAGTAAAGGCATATGTGAACACTATGGTGGCTAGCAAACCAGTCAAGTCGCCTGTAACAGGTTGGTCCTCTGGGGGGGTCTTGGAATGACGAGCACGAGGCAGTCGGGTCCATTGTAAATGTTTTTATTTATATTTTCACACACACAACGCCACCGGCTCCGGCACTGTTCCCTGAACCACTCCCTTCTCAGTCCCCCCCTGCAGCCGAGCCAAACCACGCCCGCCACCACATACCCCCACCGCCCGACTTAGGCCGGGGAGCCATCCGGCCGAACCCACTCCCCCCCTCGCCCTCGAGAGGGCGGGAGAGAAAGTCCGCCACGACCATCTGCGCCCCCGGCCTATGGACCACCTTGAAATTAAAAGGCTGTAGAGCCAGATACCACCGAGTGATCCGGGCATTAGCATCTTTCATGCGGTGGAGCCATTGGAGCAGGGCGTGGTCCGAACAGAGGGTGAATGAGCGTCCCAGGAGGTAGTAGCGTAGGGAGTCGACTGCCCACCGGATGGCCAGGCACTCCTTCTCTACTGTGCTGTACCTGGCCTCCCTCTCGGACAGCTTCCTACTAATGTACACCACGGGGCGGTCCACCCTCCCCACCTCCTGGGACAAAACGGCCCCCAGCCCCCTGTTCGACGCGTCGGTCTGCAGAATAAAGGGGAGAGAGTAGTTAGGAGTATGAAGGAGTGGTTCCCCACAGAGAGCCTGTTTTACCTTCTCAAACACCTGCTGGCACTGCTCCGACCACTGGACCGGATCTGACGCACCTTTCCGGGTCAGGTCGGTGAAGGGGCTGGTGAGGTCCGCGAAGCCGGGGATGAACCGCCTGTAATACCCTGCCAGCCCCAAGAACCGCCTCACCTCTTTTTTGGTCTTGGGCCGCGGGCAGGCCACGATAGCTGTCGTCTTGTCCACCTGAGGGCGCACCTCCCCGCCCCCCAAGTGGTACCCCAAATACCGTACCTCCACCCGTCCAACCGCACACTTCCCCGGGTTGGCGGTGAGCCCCGCCCGTCCCAGCGCCTCCAGCACCGCGCCCACCTGCCGCACATGCTCCGCCCAGGTGGTGCTGTGGATAATCACGTCGTCCAGGTAGGCAGCAGCATATGCCGCGTGCGGACGCAGCACCCAATCCATGAGACGCTGAAACGTGGCCCGGGCCCCAAACAGCCCGAAGGGAAGTGTGGTAAATTGGTACAAACCGTACGGGGTGGAGAATGCAGTTTTCTCCTTGGACTCTGGCGACAGAGGAATCTGCCAGTAGCCCTTGGTTAAATCCAGTGTCGTGAAGAAACGTGCAGTGCCTAGCCAGTCCAGGAGTTAGTCGACCCGGGGCATTGGGTAGGCATCGAATCGTGACACGTCATTCACCCTGCGATAGTCCACGCAGAACCGTACAGATCCATCCTTCTTAGCCACAAGGACGATGGGGCTGCACCAGGCACTGTTGGACTCTTCTATTACCCCCAACTCCAACATACTTATTCCCAATACCAATTCCCTCCGAACGACTTCTTTCTTGTGTTCGGGCAACCTGTAGGGTCGTGACCTCACTGTCACGCCCGGGGGCGTCTGGATACTGTGAACTATGAGGTCGGTCCGGCCTGGCAAGGGAGAGAACACATTAGCAAACCGCTCCTGCAACCTGGCAACGTCCGCCCTCTGGCTCTCGGAGAGATGAGCATCTCGAGGGAGCGAGGTGTGATTACCTGCTTTTGGAACCTCCGGCCCCAGCTCCTCCCCTTCTGATACCGCAGAGACCAGAGAGACGGACTCCACCCCCCTCCAGGCTTTCAGGAGGTTCAGGTGGTATATCTGTGTCCCCCACCTGCCGTGTGACCTCGAAGGGCCCTTGCCACTTGGCTAGGAGTTTAGAGTTGGAAGTAGGAAGCAATACAAGTACCTTTCTCCCGGTGTGAATCGTCGCAGCCTGGCCCCTCTGTCGTACAGCCGTTGTTGTCGCTCCTGGGCCTGCAGCAAATTCGTTGGGACCTCCACCAACGGCAGAGGACGCAACGGCGCCCTCGGAATGGCCGGAGCGTTCACTAACTGACACTCCGGGCAGGACGGCCTAGGAGGACCTCCCGCACTGCAAACAACAGAGGGTCAAGCCAGTGGTCCCAATTACGTTCATCGTCGCTAATAAATTTACGTATCATGGACTTCCGAGTCTTATTCATGCGTTCCACCAGCCCATCTCTCTGCGGGTGGTACACGCTCGTACGAATGTACTTAGTGCCCAGTAACCCGTAAAGTTCTCTCAGTATGCGCGACATGAACGAGGTGCCCTGGTCAGTCAGAATCTCCTTAGGGATTCCAACTCGGGAGATGACCTGAAACAGAGCCTGCGCGACGTTCTCTGTGCAGAGATATTGCGCAGCGGCACTGCCTCCGGATACCGCGTTGCGCAATCCACGAGAACTAACACAAAGCGATATCTGCGTGCGCTCCGGTGAAACGGCCCGATGAGGTCCATGCCGATCCGCTGGAACGGGACCTCCACCAACGGCAGAGGACGCAACGGCGCCCTCGGAATGGCCGGAGCGTTCATATCTTCTGTGGACCAATGAGTGTGTCGAGACGCCGATACTTTTAGGGAGAAGGAAAGCTGTATTCATCAACTTGCACGGAGAACTTTGGATGAACAAAACATGTTTTGGTTTTACTAACGAACAGAGTCGGTGTGAGCATATGACCAGATCAAGTGAATAAAACAAGGAAACTCACACAGCAAAGACGAAGGGAGCAAACTCAGCTAAGAAGCAAAATGAGGGAAATAGAGGATGCAGGATAAGGACGCTGATGATGCTGCACAAAAACTGAGAACTGATTCCCAAGGGTTGTTTGGTGACTTTGTAGTGATAAACTATGCTCTGAAATGGTTCATTACTGAGTAGGAATTCATGGAAGACCAGCAGTGTAAAAAACATGAGGCTAATGTTTTCAATGCTAAAACCGAAAGATGGTTGAAGGTATTTAACTAAAAAATGCAGTTCCTGCTGAAAATGCATTGGAATGCTAAAAGTTGAAAGCTGAAATGAACTTCAGAAAATTGCTGACCAAACAGAAAGTTGAAGGGAATTTTAATACATTTGCTGAAATTACATATACTAGAAAAGCTGAAAATAATTTGAAATTGCTGAAAATACAGAAACGGGAGAAGCTGAAAGGAATTTCAATAGATTTGCTGAAAAGGCAGAAATGAAAACAGCTGAAATTAATTTAAAAATTGCAAAAAAATACAGAAATGAATATTAAAACATTGCTGTTAATACAGAAATGGGAGAAGCTGAATTTCAATAGACTTTCTAAAAAATACAGAAGTTGCAGGAGCTTAAATTAATTAAAAAAATACAGAAATAACAAAAGCTGAGATGAATAAAAAGTTTTAAATTGTTTGTAGTAATATTAGTTATAGTTGTAATTGTGGTATTCGTAGTACTAGGTTTAGTATCATTAGCAGTAGAAACAGCTGGAATACTAATACTATTGTATTAATATCAGTAGAAATACTAGTAGTACTTTTTATTATAGTAGGAAGAGTAGTACTATCAGTTGCAGTGTCACTAGTAGTGGTAGTAATAGTATTTTTAGTACTACGATTCCATTTAGCATTAATACTGTTAGGATGTGCAAATGGACCCAAATGCAACACGCAGGACCGCCAAGGTTTCTCTTAATTCAACAGGGGTTATTTATTTTCTCCGGCAGGGAAAAAAAACAACAGGGAACACAAGTCAATTGTGAGTGGCAGAAAAAAGGAAACAAGTCGAATCGGCCACGTGATGACAGATGACGTGATGACTCCCTTCGATGACAGGGTGCGCTCCGATCCGTAGTAACTTAGAAGCAGTGCTGCAGTGGTAAAATTAGAGGTGGGTAAACTCAGAATTTTGTGATCATACAGACCTTGACGCGATGCGAAGCAACGCAACACAAAGCGTCGCGACTCTGTAAGGCTGTCCTGGCTATATTGCATTATGTTATCAGTAAAAGTCATATACAATCAATGATTGTTTCTAAGTTTAACTGTGACTGGGTTGATTATGGAAATGATGGGAAAAGGACCAATGTATCTGAGAGATAGCTTCTTGGATTCCGTGCATAGGGGTATGTCCTTAGCAGAAAGCCAGACCCGTTGGCTGGGGAGGTATGTGGGGTGGGTGTGCGGCAGCGGTCGGCCAGTTATTTGTTCTTGTTCAGAGCGGAGTAGGGCGGCACGAGTCTCCCTCCAGACTCTCCTGCATTGGCGATAATTGCTCTGAACTGAAGGGACGCCTCTTGGCTGGGTAGCACGGGAGGTTGGTAGCCCATTGAGACCTCGAAGGGGGAAAGACCGTCGCCGTGGAGGTATGTTGTTAGCGTATTCGATCCAGGCCAAGTGACGACTCCAGGAGGACGGATTTGCGGCTGTAACACAACGGAGCATGGCTTCCAGTTCCTGGTTAAGCCTCTCAGTCTGCCCATTGGTTTGGGGATGAAAACCAGAAGAAAGACTATCCGTGGCGCAGAGGGTGCGGCAGAACGCCCTCCAGACTTGGGAGGACAACAGGGGGCCTCGATCGGAGACAATGTCCACAGGGATGCCGTGAAGCCTAAAAACATGGCGGACCAATAAGTCTGCGGTCTCGCGGGCAGATGGGAGCTTGGGAAGGGGAACAAAGTGAGCCGCCTTAGAAAACCGGTATTGTTATCCGAGGGGGGAAAGCCTGTGACAAAGTCCAATGCCATGCGTGACCAAGGCCTGTGGGGAACAGACAGAGGTCGTAAAAATCCAGCAGGGGGTCTGTGTGAGGCCTTGTTACGCGCCCAGGTGGCACAGGCCAGGACATTGCTCGAGTGTCATTGTCTAGAGACGGCCACCAGACGGAGCGCCGGAGCCAGTTGATGGTTCGTCTTATCCCCGGGTGGCTGGAGAGTTTGGAGTCATGGGCCCATTGTAGGCCACGAGATCGGACGGAGGAGGGAACAAATAGACGCCCTGGAGGGCCCCCGCCTGGGTCCGGCTGAGTCTGCTGAGCCTCCCGCACTCCAGACTCTATCGCCCAGGTGAGACTTCCTAGGATACAGGCAGGGGGAATGATTGTGTCCTGAGCTGGGTCCATCTCGTCTGGGGAAAATTGACGACAGAGCGCATCGGGTTTCACATTCTTGCTTCCTGGGCGGTAGGTGATTGTGAAGTTAAAACGGGAAAAAAACAGAGCCCAACGGGCTTGGCGGGAGTTGAGTCATCGGGCAGCATGGATGTATTCGAGAATTGGGTGGTCAGTCCACACAATGAAAGGGTGGACTGACCCCTCTAGCCAATGTCTCCATTCCTCTAGGGCCAGCTTCACAGCTAGTAACGCACGGTTTCCCACATCATAATTCCGCTCTGCCGGGGAAAGACGACGGGAGAAAAAAATGCACGGGCGAAGGCGTCCACCTCGACCACAAACTGGCGACTTTCATCTGGCTGGGCTAGGATGGGGGCTGATGTGAACCGTTCCTTAAGGGTTTCAACAGCCCGGTTAGCCTCGGGGGTCCAGGAAAATTCCACCTTAGGGGAGGTGAGTCGAGTTAGGGGCAACACCGTCTGGCTATAATTTCGAATGAACCGGCGGTAAAAATTTGCAAAGCCAAGGAACTGCTGTAGCTTCTTCCGGTTAGAAGGGATTGGCCATTCGGTCACTGCCTGAACCTTTGCCGGATCTTTACGAATCTGCCCCTCCTCAATGATAAAACCCAGAAATTGTACTGAGGTGACATGAAATTCAAATTTCTCCGACTTGGTGGTTTGGTTCAACCCTCGGTAGTCTATGCACGGGTGGAGACTCTAGTCCTTCTTGGCCATAAAGAAGAACCCCGCTCCCACCGGGGAGGATGCCGGTCGGATAATCCCGGCAGCGAGGGAGTCGGTAATGTTGGTCTCCATAGCTTCGCGTTCCGGGAAATGTTGTATAATGTTGTATAATCAACTGGAAGGCAGGGTGGCGCAGAGGAGTAGTTCTATGGCGCAATTGTAGGGTCGGTGTGGTGGCAGAGATACTGCTCGTTCCTTGCTGAACACGTCGCTGAGATCTCCATACTCCGTGGGAACCAAGTTGAGGTTGGCTATAATCGATGGGATGCGGTTAGACGAGACCTGCCGGGGGATGGCAGACTTGAGACAACTCGAGAGACACGTGGGACTCCAACCGAGAATTCTATTCCCTGCCCAGTCTATCTGCGGATTGTGGTCCCTGAGCCATGGATGTCCCAGAACCAGAGGTGTCTGTGGCATAGGGTAGATGTACAAACAGATCTCGTGCAGGGGAATCGGGCAAGTGCGATGAGTTATGTTGGTCAGGGGACTTCCATCCAGAGCATTTGCCCGAAGAGGGCATTCCAACTCCTCCAAGGGAATCTTGTGAGCGAGGGCTAACGAAGAGTCCAAAAAGCTCTGTTCCGCTCCAGAGTCAATGAGCGGCAAGACCCGGGAGAGCACCCCCGGATGGCAGGCATAGCTTTGCTGGAAGTGTGAGACGGGGCTTAGGGCTGGGGAAACTGGTGGAGTCGCTCGCCAGTACTCCCACTCCTACTGGTGAGCATTCTCTTTTGGTCGCACCGGCCAAACAGTACAGGCAGGCCCTGGAATGGATTAGCCGCTCCCTCTCTCCCAGAGACAGATGGAACCGCCCCAACTGCAGTGGTTCCTCCTGATCCTCTGGATAAGAGGCCGGAACGTCCAGGCGCGGGCGGTTTGGGCTGTGGCGGCGAGGTGGGGCTGAAGACCTGAATCCCGAAGGGGTCAAGGGGTGACGGACGGGTCCTGGAACCCTGTAGCTCTGTTCTCTGCGACTCTCACGCATCCCAGCATCCAGACGGATGGTGAGGGCAATGAGGTCCTTGAGTGTCTGAGTCTCTCCCAGAACGGCTAGCTGGTCCTTTAATCCATCTGCCAGGCTGTTGAGGTAAACCCCTCTCAGCGCTCTCTTCTCCCAATCACACTCACACACGGACAATATGCGAAAGTCTATTGAATGTTCGGCAGTGCTGGTGGAGCCCTGGCGGAGGCGGAGTAGGCGCTGCACAGCATCCTGAGTGTGCATAGGGTGGTCAAAAGCTGGCGGGTTTTGGTTAAACCAGGCCTGGTCCCAGTCCAGGGCCCGCCCACGTAACAATCCGGTCAGATAGGCAATCCTAGAATTGTCCGATGCATACATACGGGGCCGTTGATTAAACACAAACGTGGCCTGGAGAAGGAAGCCTCTACATCCCCTCATGTCTCCATGGAACTGTTCAGGAGACAGAACAAAAGACTCACAAACTGGTTGGGCGTCTCCCGCCGTTGGTTCTTGGAAGGAGGGGCGGGCCAGAGCGAGTCCCTGCACCATGCTGCTGATCTCGGCCATCTGCGATCCCGTGGTTTGTTGTGAACCTCGTAGATCATGCAGCAGGTGATGTTGTTGTCCCAAAAGAATGCCTTGGTTGATGATCGCCTCCTGCACGGGATCCGCCGGAGGAGATCCTATTGCGGCTGCTGGATCCATTATTTGTGGTCAGTCCGTTCCGTTAGGATGTGCAAACCCAGGACCAACAAAGTTTCTCTTAGGCCCATAGGGGTTATTTATTTTCTCCGGCAGGAAAAAAAAGAGGAAACACAAGTCAATTGTGAGTGGCAGAAAAAAGGAAACAAGTCGAATCGGCCACATGATGACAGGGGGCCCTCTGATCTGTAATCACTCGGAAGAGTGATTCTGTCACTGTGACTAGGCGGCAGACAGGCAAGCAGGTAGCGTTGTTACCCCCGACCATCCTGCTTCGAAGCTTGTGTCGAAATATGAACCAGTGCAAGGCGAAGCAAATGTATCGGTGCTTGGTTCGTATGCTGCTGATCACGTGATCAGTGACGTCCAAAGCTTTGGTCCAGCTCACAGTAACGTCATCAGTGACGTCCGAAGCCTTGTTCCGGCGCACAGTCACGTGACTGCTTCGATTTGATTCAAATGGGCGTGAAACAGGGTTCGGGCTTGTCTGTTTGATACAGTCAAAGTCAGTGTTGTTGCGAGTAGTAGTAGCAAATTTACAATGGAACCTGTGGCAAAGAGAGGTCGCTCCGAGATGTGGGAGCACTTCAATTTGATTTCCTCTAACAAGGTTTTTATGTAGAAGGTCTTCTACATGTAATCTTAATGTTATAAATATATAATACATGTTTATACATTAATTTTATTCTAGCATTTACTCATTAAAAAGTACTTGCAGTGGTAATACTACTCCACTCCTCCGCTCTCTTCACTGGCTACTGGTGGCTGCCCGCATCCAGTTCAAAACATTGGTGCTCACGTACCATGCTGTGCATGGATCAGGTCCAGCTTACATCCAGGACATGGTCAAACCCTACATCCCGACCCGCACTCTCCGCTCTGCATCTGCAAAACTGCTCGTCCCTCCCTCACTGAGAGCAAAACACTCGACTAGATCACGACTCTTTGCTGTCCTTGCTCCGAAATGGTGGAACGAGCTCTCTGAAGACACCAGGACTGCAGAGAGCCTTCACATCTTCTGCCGCAAACTAAAGACACAACTCTTCAGACTCTACCTCGACTAAAAGACTAACAAATTGTAGCACTTAAATTGTACTTATAAAGCCACTCATCTATAGCAAATTGTAAATTGGCTTATTTGAGGAAATTGCACTTTCTTGTTTCTTGTTCTTCTGAGTTTGTACCCTATTGTAAGTCGCTTTGGATAAAAGCGTCAGATAAATGACATGTGATGTAATGTAATGTAATATATTATGTATCCATGGCCTGTTGTTGTATTCTAGGTGATAGGAAGGCCAAAATTGACGAGGCACTGGTGAACATGATCGTAAAGGATTCGCAGCCCTTCAAGGTATGATATTTATTTGCCACATAAACGCAAAAAAGAAACGTCCTCTGACTTTCAACTGTTTTTACTTTCAGTAAACTTAATGTGTGTAAATATTTGTATGAACACTACAAGAGTCAACACCATAAGACATAAACTAAAAATGTTTCACAGACATGTGACTAACAGAAATAGAATAATGTGTAACTGAATGAAGGGAGGCTCAAAATCAAAAGTACCAGTCAGTATCTGGTGTGGCCACCAGCTGCTTGAAGTACTGCAGTGCATCTCCTCCTCATGGACTGGACCAGATTTGTCAGTTCTTGCCGTGAGATGTTACCTTACTCTTCCACCAAGGCACTTGCAAGTTCCTGGACATTTCTGGGGGGAATGGCCCTAGCCCTCACCCTGCGATCCAACAGGTCCCAGACTTGCTCAATGGGATTGAGATCTGGGCTCTTCGCTGGCCATGGCAGAACACTGACATTGCTGTCATGCAGAAACTCACACACAGAACGAGCAGTATGGCTGGTGGCATTGTCCTGCTGGAGGATCATGTCCGGATGAGCATGCATAAAGGGTACCACATGAGGGAGGGCCGTGACTCATCGATGAAGAGCACTTTTTGCCACTCCTGTCTGGTCCAGCGAAGGTGGGTTTGTGGCCATAGGCGGCGTTGTTGCTGGTGATGTCTGGTAAGGACCTGCCTTACAACAGGCCTACAAGCCCTCAGTCCAGCCTCTCTCAGCCTATTGCGGCCAGTCTGAGCACTGATGGAGGGATTGCGTGTTCCTGGTGTGACTCGGGCAGTTGTTGTGATCATCCTGTACCTGTCACGCAGGTGTGATATTCGGATGTATCGATCCTGTGCAGGTGTTGTTACACGTGGTCTTCCACTGCGAGGATGATCAGCTGTCCTTCCTGTCTCCCTGTAGCGCTGACTTAGGCGTCTCACAGTGCGGACATGGCAATTTATTGCCCTGGCCACATCAGCAGTCCTCATGCCTCCCTGCAGCACGCCTAATGCACATTCACGCAGATGAGCAGGGACCCTGGGGATCTTTCTTTGGGTGTTTTTCACAGTCGGTAGACAAGTCTCTTTAGTGTCCTGCGTTTTTAGAACTGTGACCTTAAATGCCTACTCTCTGTAAGCTGTTACGGTCTTAACGACCATTCCACAGGTGCATGTTAATTGATTGATTATGGTTAGTTGAACATGCATGGAAAACATTGTTTAAACCCTTTACAATGAAGACAATGAAGAAGTTATTTGGATTATTACAACATTATTGTTGAAATACACAGTCCTGAAAAAGGGACGTTTCTCTTTTTGCTGAGTTTACATTGAGGTATTTGTGTAAAACACATATTAACATTTTTTTTACTGTTAGGTTGTGGATGATCAAGGCTTTAGGGCCTTGGTGTCTCTTTTGGACCCCACCTATGTCCTTCCTTCAAGACAGACCTTGAAATCTATGGTGGAGGCCAAGTATCACGAGGAGAAGCAGAAGGCCAAAGAAAAGGTCCAGAAGGCTAATGCTGTGGTTTTGACCTCTGATATGTGGACATCCATCCACTTGGACTCGTACCTGGCCTTCACTTTCGCGGCCGGGTGGTTGGGGACCACTGGTTTATGGTATCAAATGCATGAAAAGTGAGATTTTCGTCCCCGAAAACGCCCGGAAATCTTCCTAATTTCCGACCGTTTCCGACAATTTGCAACCCGCGCACGTTGCGTTTGTCTGTGCCACAAATCGTCGGAAACGAACCATAACGTATGTGGAGAGCTGGCGGAAGTGCCCTAATTAGCATATGAATGCAGTGAAACCGCGGGTGGCCGAGCGGGCTTGAATATCCTACTCCTTATTGGATGAAACCACAACTTTCAAACAAGTAACATCACTCGTGATTGGCAGCAAAACCACACCTGGGCAGACCAGGCTTGAGTTTCCTTGCTCATTATTGGATGAAACCACAGCTTTCAAACAAGTAAAATCACTCGTGATTGGTTGGCAGATCTGTCGCTATTGGTCACCCGCCTCATTTTATTTATATATTCATATTATGCTGTATATTCATTTCATTGTTATCCTATGTAGGCTACTACACTATTATTAGGACATCAATGAATTTATAGAGAAAATGAACATTTGCCAGGAACATGTTTATGCAAAGAAAGAGCTTTATTAACAACATACAAACAACAACTATATACAAAGTGAGGATCTGCCCACACTTGGGTAAAGGCGGTTTAAAAAAGTACAGCTCAGTAAACTGTCCGTTTGCCTCCTCGGGGTTGTAGACGGTTACTGGCGCCGTGTTGTCCGAGGTAGGTCTGTTGTGCAGGCGCCTAGTGTGTGTGGCTCTGTATTTCTGAGTCGCCTCTAACCGGGACAGACTACGAAATGGCAGCGACCGTACAATCCACCCCGAGACCCCGCCAACAACGCCATCCTCTCCGTCCGACGTGAGCTCTACGGTGGCGGATTTCCAGAGTTCCACCTCGACATCAGCCAGCACACTTTGTCTCGATTCCAGCAGCTGTAAAAACACCAATGAATCAGTACTGTGCGATGCAACACATCTATCAATGCACCTGGAAAAAGTCAGCAAATAAACTCTCACCCTCTTTCTTCTCGCTCGACTCCGCGCTGAATTCTTCGCAGCTTCCGCCCGCAATGAGTGTTCCGGCTGGGAAAACCTGAAGCTCCTGCGTACCGTCTCAAAATACGTCTTACAGGCGGCCGTAACAAAGTCACAGTAACATTTAACAAGGATGGAGAAACAGTAAACAGTGTCACTTACACACAATGACAGTTATGATCGGTATCCATCCTATGGTATCTATACGTATATATTTCCTTATACCGCAGAATGAAAGCATCGTCTTTAAATCTTACCCTTGCTCCGGTTCGTAGCGCCTGTAATTCGTCTCGGAGTTGTGAAGACGACGCACCGCTTCCTGTAAACGACACGGCAAAGAAAATACACTTTAATAAAGCTGTTTCTGCTCACTTGTAAGGCTACTAGGCTACTCTTAGCTTTCGTTTTAGGCTATGCTACTTTTAGCTTAGCTTGCAGTTATCGAACATATTCTTACCGCTATCTTGGGATTGTGCGCCAGTCTCCTCTTCTTTGAGTCAGTTCCCCCAGAGCCGCCAACCTCTCCTCTATGGACAGCAACCTGGAGAGTCCCGAACTCCCCAGTGGAGCGATATTGTTGATATCGGCAGTTTGTTGTTGGAGATGACGAGACAATCCACTGAGAGCATTCAGCAGTTTCTTCTCGTCTGTCTGCGGACTGGCCGAAAGTTGCTGACCGCGGAGAGGAGTTGAACGCGAGTTGAACGCGAGACGTCATCCAACTTCACGAACCAGCAAAAACCAAACAAAGGAACTGGAGATACAGTTCTTCTGAATATAGTAACACACACGTGTCTGTTTGTATGCTCGTCTTGTACTGCTGTATGAGTCATGCCTATGACCTCACACGTGATTGGACGAGGAGTCTAAGGGTCCTCCAATCACATACAAGGTTATTGTTATACGGAAGGACCTGTATTTTAGGAAGACAAATGGTTGGGACTTTGTCGTGCAATGAAACAGCTGATATGCTTTATGTAAAGCAGTGTTTTGGTGTCAGCAGAACGACTTTCCCTAGAAAACTGTACAGTGGTGCCTCTTTCTCCGTTCCACCAGACAATCTTGGATGAGTCTGACATACAGGCAATGTTGACAATGTATCATCAGATGTACCCTTGTGTCACTGAGGTTGAATGTTTTGCCATGACATGTAAACGGGTAACATATATGAATGTAACTTACTCAATCGATAGATGCAGAGCATAAAGGTCAGCATATGTTTATGCTAAGTGGTGTGGAAACACTAACAGTTTTGAGGAACCCGTCCTTGACCCTCTAGCAGAACTACGACCAGCCATTATAAAGCAGTTTATAGTTGTTAATGTTGTGTCAAAGGGTACGGCATTTAAACATGTTCTTGCACAAGTTTCCTGGCTTCATCCCCACCCGGACAGACATTTTTATGGAAAGCCAATAGAAGTTTGGGGCTTGCAGGGAACAGACACGTCATACCCAGCATAATTTCTGCCAGTTGAGCGCATTGCTAGAAGATGTGTGGTTAATATATCCTCTGTGCATTTAAGTAAGACCAAAGAAAAGGTCACTGTAGTCCTGCCACTATGCACTGTAGTTGAGCTCTAGGAGACTGTGATCTCTGTAGACCCCTCATTCTGATTCAAATGTTGTTTGCATGGAATGCTCATTTTACCTTGATTAAAACTTACATAACATTTGCCATTGCTAATGGCGTACACAGGAATCTAGCATATTTGAATTAAATAAATCAATTCAAGCTAAAATGTAAGAGTCTAAGTTATTTATTATAACTCCTCGGTTGTTTACCTTTAGTTTAGATAACTGTGTCCGTGGGGCAGACAAGATCTCTATAGGGTGAGTGACAGCTCGGATGGAAGCGCAGAGAAGTGTGTAAGACTGCGACTATGCTCCCTGGTCTGAACTCTGGGTCATGGATTAAGTCCACTAAGAAACTGGGTCAGGTTCTTAGAAACAAGTTCAGCTCCATCCAAAGTGGGATGGATGCCGTCCCTCCTAATCAGACCAGGCTCTCCCCAAAACGTCTTCCAGTAATCAACGAAGCCCACATTATTTACTGGCACCACCTCGACAACCAGCGGCAGAATGACGACATGCGGCTATACATGTCGGCACTGGTCAAGTTTGGGAGGGGGCCAGAGAAAACTACGGTGTCCGTCATTGTTTTAGCGTATGTACACACTGATTCCACATTAACTTTAGTGACCTCCGAGCAACGTAATCGGGAGTCATTACCGTCGACGTGTATTACAATCTTACTGTATTTATGTTTATCCCTAGCCAGCAGTTTAAGGTAAGACTCAATGTCGCCCGCTCTGGCCCCCGGTACACATGTAACTATGGTCCCTGGTTTCGCTAACTTCACGTTCCTCAGAATGGAGCTACCTATCACCAGAGTTGGCTTCTCAGCGGGTGTGTCGCTGAG